GTAGATTTCAGGAGACTCCTGTGATCTACCAGTAGTGTTCCCCCAGCTGATCAGGTAGGTCCTGGCCACGCTGGGGGTTTGAGCCACGCCTAGTCATGCGGACGTTGGCTCTGGGTCTGGCTTCTTAGAAGAAGACTTTGGTGCAGGGGTCTCATCTGCATATCTCAGCTGTTCCTTCTGTTTAGCTAGGAACTGCTGAAACATCTCCTGGAGGTCGGCTTTGGTCAAGTACTCACCTGCGGACTTGTGTTCGGGACCTACCTGTGGGCGGCGCTCCTTAAACCTTCCACTGTTCCGACCTGCTTGCCGTTGGTTTTGGTTGGGCCACTTCCTGTCTGATTGTCCAGACCTAGGCGGCCAATCAGCACCCCCCTTCCCCTGTTGAGGAGATTGGGACTGCTCTCGCGGTTTAACAGGTCTAGGTTTAGCAGATTTTGGCTTAGTGGGTGGAGCTTCTGTGCCTTCGAGCTCCAAACGCGGCTCAGCGTCGGGAGCTAGGTGCATGACGCGGTGATGTGCGTCAGGCTTTTGGGGCTTTCCGCCGGCTTCCCAAGCCTGTTGAGCGTATCTCCTAATCTCCTGAGTTGTCAGTTTTTTCATCCGACAATACATTGAGACTTCGGATCGAACACACTCGTGCAGGTTGTGAATGAACAGGGATCTGAAGGCAGGGTCTTCCTCGAGCCCAGGGCCGTTTCGACCTTGGAAATAAGCACTTTTGAGTCGGCGATAATACTCTCTGGGGGGTTCGTTTCTCCCGTGTTTGATGGAGAAGGCCCCCATTGTAGCTGACGCGGAGTCTGCATACGTGGCGTATTCATCCCTCAACGCTCGGCAGAGCGAGGAGTACCGATCTCGAATGTCAGGTGGTAGAGTTTCCATGAAACCGTGCACCGTTCTAGATGTGGTTTTCCAAATTAGCTTGAGCTTTTCCCTTGAAGAAGGTGCTGGAAGATCAAGCAGACAACGTTCTATCTCCCTGAGATAATCGTCAACGTTGGATTCATTGGTGTTAGGATCAAAGCGTTCTATGTCTTTAGCTAGCGATTCAATTTGACGTACACGGAGCCCTGACTCACGGTACGGCGCGTCATCCTCTGACTCTGACCCACGGTCTGTCTCAGAGGGCGCTGGATATCGCTGGTGTGCTCTGGGCTCCCAATGTTGACTCCTGGGGCCCAAATCAGGGTCCGGCATGCTGTGGCGGGCTGCTGGCACGTCACGTGGGTGTCTTGGGAGGTCCTCCTCCCGGGGCACGTCTGCGTAGTGCAGCCTGCGTCTTTCAACTGGGGCTTCTGCGTAATACACTTTGTCCGGATACGGACTGGCGTATGATGCTTTGTCCTGCAGCTGGTTACCGGCATGCCGAATACCGGAGTAGCTAGGATGGGTGGATGGTTGAGGTGCAGCTTGGGGTGCATAACCCCAATCGGCACCTTGCACCCTTTGTGGACTGGGGAAGCGGTCTAAATAGAGGTGCCGCTCAGCTGGTCGACTTCTCACTGATTGAGAAGGCCGTGAAGATGAGGGTGGTGGTCCAACCTGGGATTCGAGGGCGAACTGTCCTCGACCCCTAGATGGTCCTGAATGCCCTATAGTGTGTGTAGGGAACGGGGCCGAAGGTTGGAACAGATGAGCTTCATCTCTCCCCTGCGGCGTGCGTCCGTCCAGAGAGTCCTGGTGTTTCCCCCCTTCCCACTGTCTGTTGTCATCAGCAGAGGGGGGCGGGGTCTCCTCCCCATCTTCCCCAGAATCGGTGCGGGTGTCGTCTTCCTCGATCAGCCTTCCATTTCGCTGTTTTTCAGCTAGCATACTCTGGAGGTTCATGATCTTCTGACCACGTTGGAGTCCTCTCTGATAGAGGATCAGGGCTAACTTAGCTAAGTGAACCTGGATTGGTTTTGTACCATCCGGGTTTTCTATTTGATCGATTACAGCTTCTAGCTCGACGCTACGCTGTTCTTCAGTGAAATCCCTAGAAGGGTAGTCGGGTTCTCGAGCAACCGCGACCAGTTTGGACAATATTTGTCCAGAAAGTAGGCCAGGTTCATAGTCGTGGGCCGCAGCGCCACCTGGTTGCTGGGAGTTGGTCAGGTCACTACTCTGATGCTCCATTTTAACAACCGAACCAAAATAGCCTAGTAGAGCTTCTGCAGATAGCTCAAGCTGCACCTTTTGGGCAGCAACTGCTAGCTTTGTAGCAGAAAAACACTAAATTAACCTTTGTGCGCACAGGTTTTAGCATTTTAAGATTGCACGGAATGCCGTGACTGACGCTTAAAATACTATTCCTTTCAGTATTTTAGCAAAAGCTGGTGCGTTGCCGTAGCAACGTCTTACAACACTTGCAGTGTTAAATATGCTAGTTATTCCTTCAGAATATTAGCAAACAGGGTGTTATCAGTCTCATAATCTGAAGGTCGTGAGTTCGAGCCTCACACGGGGCACCAATAAAATGTTGGGGTTATTAGGAGCGAACAATTCGTAAGCTTTAACTTACTTTTGGATTCTTCAATAAATTCTGTAAATATGGAACTATTTACTGATTTATTAATTAATTAAGATATTCTTAGATATCTTCGGGGCACCACCCTTTAATTAGAAAGGGAAATGAATCCAAAACTCTTATCAGTCTTTCTTGAAGTTCGTAGAATCCTCGGAGCAGAGACTTCTCTTCGACACAACAAAGCTACTGGACACAAAAATCTGAATTTTATAACATTTAATTAACAATTTGTCAAATGAATAAACAGTGGAATAGATGAATAATAACCGTGTGATATGATTGAAGATGGATGTGTTTGCATGTGATGGAGGATGTATGAATGGGGTCCTTTGTTCTCACAAAGGAGTAGTGTGTGTGTGTGTGTGTGTGTGTGTGTGTGTGTGCGTGTGTATGGATTCAAAATGGAGTCTTGAATACAAGATGGCTGACCCCTTTGTCTGGCTAAAGTGTGGGTGGCAACTTGCACTTTAACTTCCAAAGCACTTAGAATCAGTAGTAACTTAACCTTAAATCACTCAAAACATTTCCAAAGATCATGAAACAACACAAAAGATTAATCACAAATTAATATCTTTTAGTTTCAGCCTGGCCATGACAGAAACCATTTTAAGATACCAAACAATGATCAATAAGCAGTTTATTCTTTCAAAATGACCCGACGGACGTGTTTGGGACGAAAGAGGAAAACACGAAGCTACTTTTTAAGCAATAGCGCGGTTTTATTGCTTATTCTGGACTATAGAGTTAACGGAAGAAGAAGGAGAGAGAGAAAGAGATGAGTTGCTGATCACCAGAAGAGCGAGGCGTCCCTCCCTCTTTGATTTGACGGTTCTCCGTGTTTCTCCGCAGCTTTCGGCGTCGTCCGTCGGTTTGATGCTTTCTCCGTTGTTTGGCGTTCACGAGTGTTTCTCCACGGGCTGGACAGAGACAGCAAAGTTTCTTTCTGTGCTGAGTTATAACTTACAGCGTGCTTGATGGAGTTGTTGCTTTCCTCCGCAGTTCTGTGTCCTCAAACATCAGCTGGAGGGGAGCAGAAACGAGCAGATCTGATGGGCTTGCAGTTTAGTTTCCAGCAGTTGCGTGGCTCAACTTGGCACTTAGAGCTTCCGCGTGCTCAAGTTGACGGAGCGTTGACAAGCGTGTCCTTACCGCCAGGTATCCTGGGCAAAAGAACAAGGTTTCTTTGTCTCTGCTGAAGATTTATGGTCTTAGTTCGCGGGAAAAGCTCCACGGCTTCCCGCACATGCGCAGAACGTGTTTCTGGTACTAGGCGGTAACATCACCCAATGCTTCCGTGTGCAAAGCATCATGGGAAATGAAGTTTCTTGGCGCTGATGTGATTATTTGCTTTCCAGAGCAATTTAAGCACAGTCATTTTGGAGAAAATCACTGCATAGTAATTTCCTCATGAGGTCAGACCCTCAACATTACTGTCATTGATTTTCAGGAATTCATATTGGAAGCAGTGATGGAAGACAGTTCAGATGGAGTGTGCCCGAGCCTGCCACAGACTTTGATGTGTCGTGGGAAAGTCTGAGACCAGGGGCTAAAGGAAAGGGGAGAGGAAAAGGTCGCTCCGAGGGTCGGGGAAGGACACGCTCAAGGGGTGAGGGCAGCAGGTTGAGGTCCAGAGCTCCTTCAAGAGGACCAGGGCGCCGGGGTAGGCAGCGAACAGCTTTCAAAGAAGAGGACCGAGACCGGCTTGCACAGCTGAGAGCTGCCAGTATAGCTGAGATGCAGGTTGGTTGTAGCCATTGTGTAAAAAAATAAAATAATAGATGCCAAAAACGAAAACATCACTCACTGGAGATATGAATCTAGTCATGTAAACATATGCTCTTTAATTTCTAGACAGCTTTACAACACCTGAGCCAGGAGGAGAGAGATTATATTCTCGAGAGAGTGGTGACCCGTCTTCCAGGGGTGATGCTGGATATCCTGGAGTTTCGGCAAGAGACGCCAGGACACCGTCTTCCTGACTGAGGGCACCCTAACCCAAAAATCCAAACCGTTTATCTACAACTACAGTAGTTCCAAAACAGCACAATACCTCAAAATAACTTTAGCTGAAGACAGCATTTTCACCCAAAAATGAACAAACAGTTTGTGCAATATATTTATTTTTATTTATGTACAAAAAAGTTCTGTTATTTGCATTTGTACATAGTATTTTTTCTTAATTTCTAATAAATCTGTGTGCATGAAAGAAGTCATTCCTGTCTTTTGATGCTTCACGTAGCTGGGGCCTTTATGGAGAGAGGAGAACAGCAGCATTAGATCATACATAATTACATGAGAATGCAATTCTGGAAACTCTCCAGTTCTGAAGTTGACCTGTAAAAAAACAAAAGCTACAACTTTATAGATTATTAGGAATCACACTTTTGATTGCCTTTTCACCCACAATTGTCATTTCTATATGTAAATTTTCAGCTTTGATATTGACACTTTAGCTTTTTTGCTTATGAAAATGTTATTAATATACCTAAAGGTCAGATTGGTGGCATCCTTCAACCAGCGTCTGTTGAACATGATTCGTTGAAGAGCCTCGTGTGGTGGAGATCCTGGCACCATGCCACGTTGCATCAAGTGGTCCATGGTCACATTTGCCACGGGTCCATTCATGCTTCCCTGTGACATGGTGAAGCACACCCACCCACATGTCCTAACAGAAAAAATAAGTTTTATTTGAAAACTTTACATGTGACAGAAGCGCTCACAAACAGAAACACGAGAGCTGGCACTATTATGAAAAGAAAGGTAATTATGTCAATGTGCATTGTTGTCTTGTTGTCCAAAAGATGTCACAATACTTACATTAAACATATCACGATGTTGTGCTTTCTGACAAATGTACCAAAATTGGTTGAAGATGTCATTCAGCCACACAAGTAGGATGGAAATTCCCTTTAGGATCCCAGTCTGTGAACAAGGATAAAACAACAATTCCATCTTTTAGTTCTTTTTAAAACATAGAAGGGTTTTATTTACCTGCAACGTTTTGTTTGCGGCTGCAAACTTCGTCAGCCTGACAAAGTTTTCATAACAGTTCTATTCTGTTATGAAAACAATAAATAAAAGTAGAATTAATATATTGTTTTAAGACTTTGGAGTTTAAAAAAAGAGTGTAGATAAGAATAGGGCTGGGAAATATGGCCTCAAATCTATATTGTGATATAATCTGAAGCATGTGCAGTAACGATATATATTGCGATATATTTTTTCATCTGTTTATAGATGTCAAATTGACATGCTTTTAGATATCCTCATGTGGCAAATATATGCCACTTGAGGCATATAGGCCTCCTCCTCCGCCCACTCCATGCTTGCAGTCACCGCCATTCTGTTGTCCCATTGTCAGCAGGGTGCACATCTTAGTGACGTCATGTGTTATCACAATATCGCCGTATTGCGATATAGCCAAAAACTATCATTACCTGTTACAGACGTTGTCTGTTTTGTGGCCACAAGGTGGCCTCAGAGCTCCTACCTGTTCACCTGGCTCTAGCTGAGCCAGGTGTCGCTAATCTTCTCAGTCAGGGAGCTTCCTATAAAAGGCAGCTCCCTCTGTCATTCGAGGAGGGAAGCTTAGCAGAGGCCTGGTGTTAAAGCGAGTGTTCCTCTTTTTCCCTCCTAGCAAACCAGACGTTAAAGTCTTCGTTTTGATTACCTGTGTGGTACACTTCCTAGTAGCCAGAGCTCGTTTTTGTCTCCATTAGAATACTCGTTAAAGAGTTCAGCTCACCCTTTTGGTGTAGCCTTTTGTGTTTGTCTCATTCCTTTACTTTCCCGGATTAGTACCGGCGTTTTGTGTTTATTAATAGTATTGTTATTTACCCTGTATTGGATGATCCTTCTGTTTAGTATTGTTAATTCCCCAGTGGGACGTCCTTTTGGTTTTGTATTCATTTTGTCTTAGCCTGCATAAAGCAGTGTTTTTTAGTTAATAAACTCCTCTAAGAGAGTAAATCTTGGTTTTGTCCGGTAATTCACATATCTTTCTTTACGCCCCCTTTAACATCATCTCCTAGACGAGCTGGGGGCCGTAAAATTACCCAATTTTATATCATTTCTACCTTATATCGTTTATATTGCCCACCCCTAGATAAGAAGACATTGCAACTCACACACTGTTGAGTAAGTTGTTTGCTTGGTCCTCATCAATTTGGACTGCATCCGTAGCTAGATCCATGGATTTGAAACTACAGACAACACAATATTTGTTGTACGTAAAGATAAATACTGGAACTTACCTGAAATGGTACTGATTCTAAAGAGATAAATGTGGAGCCTAATACATCTGTCATTAATTCTTTCTGCAAATAACAACAATCTGCTGTGAATTGACACTTCACAACATAAATATATATAATGACATATATTTGCTGAACTATTGTGTTTTTATCTTTTTTACACATATTACAGCAGTAATTTCCTGCATATATGGCAAGACTTCTCATGAACATATTTACCTTTCTTCAAAAGGATCCAAATCTAGGTCATCAGCTAAGGCCTCAACACCAGCCATTAGAAAATCTTCCCTGTAAAGATAATGTCAGAAGTGTTTGGTGGTGTGATGTTAGTTCTAAACCAAGTGTGGATATGCAAGGTGTAATTTAATGTATGAAATATCATAGCACAAAAACGTGAATATTTGTTTTACAGAAAAGATACTAACCCCTCAGACAGAGGTTCAGTTGGAGATAATCGATGCAACATTTTAGCTGCTGTTCGCTTACTGGGTGTTGAGGTTGACTGCACATTACCTCCCTGAATTGCAGTTTCAGGAGCCTGCTTCTCCTGGTAGCTGGAAAACACATTTTTAAGCAAAAATGTCAACAAGTTGGTTGAGACTCTACACCTTCTGTTTACATAGATCAATAATGGTTAAGCTTCTTTACCTGTGGCACAACTAGTAATATGAAAATGCATGTCAGTCATAAAAAAATTATTTATCATTTTCACAAACATATTTTATTCTGACCTACATTCAACTGGACAAATTTAGAAAAATAAATACAAACTTCTGCACAACTTTACTTTTAGTCAAACGTGTTGTTATGGCTGACTTATTATTTATTCTTATGTAGCACAGCAATAGCGCTAGGAAAATATATTCTGATGGGGTTCTGTTACACAAACCCCACGAATAACATTATCTACGGAAGAAACAGTCCTGCTTAGAGGTTGGACTGTAGATCAAATATGACATAATTCTAAAGACTCATCTTTGGTTTGGAAAATGTCCGTTCTCTTCTGTGGTACATACAAACTGAAACGTGATCGCAGCTAACATGCTAACGCACGCTAGCTCTCTCCGGCTGAGCTGTATAATCAAATCAAGCTCTGTTTACTTTTCTCGTCAGAATAAACGGAGCATCCATTTATCTCCAAACACATGCGGCGTGTCGTCCACAAAACGTAGAAGTGATCTGATTACACCTTAGTTGCTTTTAGCTTTTTTAAACTGATCAGGAAGCCATATGCTAAACACCGTTAGCTTAGATAAGTTTCTTGTTCATCTGCACAAAGATTTGTTAGATTACCTAAATCAGCATTATCTAAATCCATAAGTTTAATTTTATTTTCTCAAATTGTGCAGATACAGCTCTGATATGTTTACCTACTCGTTACTGAAACCTACAGCAGAAATAAGGAGACCAACACTTACCTGGTCACTAGAAAATGTGCCATGTAGGCAATCCTTTTTCAGGCACCAAATCCAGTTGAAGCAGCCTCCATTTTTCCAGAGCGTAACCAATAGATATTCGGGTCCCTGACCGACTTTTATCATATTTTCTTTTTGACTCTCGAGATGCCGCTGATAAAACCTTTTTCTTTGTGCCACTCTTTAGTGGGCTTTGAGTTGCGCTTGGTCGTTTGCTAGTTGTAGAATCCATTTCCAGGGTTCTTCCTCTTCTGTTTGAGGTTTTAACGTGGCTAGTAGTGAAAGACGCATTACCGCCACCTAGCAAGCTTCCAAATGTTTTTCCGGGTTTGAACCTTGTCGAGAACGCGCTTGAAGCGTCAAATAACGTCACATCCTTAAAACAGCGCGGGAAATTCGGATGCGACATGTTTTGCATTTTGAAGCACACAGCCTGTTTAACAAAATGGAATGATAAACTGGTTTCATCATTCTTTTTAGTTTAAAATGCTTCATCACCCATAAGCTTCACAAGAATGAACATTTACTTTTTGTTTTTGGACAATTCTGCCCCATGCTCCTTTAAAGTAAGCAGTATCAGATATAAAACAAACAATGCACACAATTAAAGTGGACTCCAATATGCCACATTACTCCTATCTGACTTTTATTTTATGAGTCCATTTGCAGCATGCCCCTTCCAGAACTTTAAAGTCGGTTCACAGTTCATTAAGTTCGCACTTAAGCTCTTTAAGGTTTGAAATGCTGCAAAGTGTAATGAAGTTACATTTAGAAATTATATTCAAGGCATTTTTGTTTTTATGCACCTGGTAGCTTTCTACTGCAGAACTTTGCCTTGTTTTCATGCTTTTTGGTAATAGTTTAACTTAGAAACAATTAATAATTAATTTTCCCCTCACAGAAACGCTCATCTTACATTATTGTTCAAAGGTCGTTTGAATGCCAAAAGTAGAAAAAAATATTAACTTCTAATTAGACTTTGTTCATTAGACCTTGGTGATAATGAGACAAGGAGTAATGCATTAACTGGAGTAATATGCTAATTGAAAGTAAACTAATTTTCTCTCACAGCAAGAGACTTTCTGGGCCCAGGGGGAGATTGCATGGCTGATAGTTCTGACTCTGAGCAACTAATGTGAGAAAATGGAAGTGGGATCGTTATAAATTAATTTGAAAGACAATGTTAAAAAAGGACATTCAGTGGCATTTCGTATGACTTCACATTTACTTACTTTACAATATCTTTATATGTAATTGAAGCAGACATTTATTCATTTCATCTCCAGGATAAAAAGTACACAAAGCTCATTGCTTTGAAAAAAAAAAACAACACTCACAGCAGCACAAAACATCATATTACCAGAAAAACTGACAATACTTGAAGTTGGTCATACACTGTGAGAAAACAGTTCACAGGAAGCAGAAAATCCATGTGTTAGGAGATCGTTTTGGGCCGCTGCTGTAAAAAAAGTGAGGCGCGAACCGGAAAAGCGCCCGCCAATCACAATTCAACAACGGATTGTAAAAGAACGGATAATGCTCGAAACGCGCGGATTCTTCCTGATGTTGAGTCTCCACTTTGTTTTGGTTGTTTTGGCGTCGACATCACCCTAGCGCGCAACGTTCTGTGACTGTTTAAAAAAAACAGTAAAAACGGTGAGAAACGCGGGCAGCAAAGGGCTTTACCGATCAGGAAACGGCTGGCAGCGAATGATTTAATCCATTTTTTTTCCTGCAAATACCTTAAAATCTTTTCAGAACTAAAACAAGCAAAGTCAATTTGAACGTGTTAATAAAACAGTTTTTATGTCAAGCTTCTAATAAAATTATAGTTGCCAGTAATGAGTTATGACTTATATTAAAACTACTGAATGACGCCAGTCCCACATTTCAATGGCCACATGCCAGCCCTCAGACTGAAATTCAGCTGTAGTAGTTTGAGATTTCTGGGAGACAGCCTCTCCTCGGATGTGTGACGGTCTCTAGCTGCACAGGCTCCACACTCCCCATAAAAGATGGCTGACCATAGCGGTCTGGACTGTTTCAGGCCTTCAGTCAAAGCCCAGACTCTGCAGCAGCACCAGCAGCAGCATGTCAGGCTGCTCGACATAATGAATTCATTTAGGAGCACTGTGATTAGGTCTGCCTTCATCCATCACACCAGTGTCAAACTCATTTAGTCCACTCATATTCTCAATATGAGCTCCTGAGTACACGTCACAATTTCAGAGAGTTTTACTCTGAAACTTTAGATGAGGATAAAAATATTCAGACTGAATTTTAATTTATTTAGAACATTTTTATAGTCGAGGTTTCAGTAGTTTACTCCCACGCGGCCTGGATTTAGAGCCTTTCTGCCGCAGATTTGCTTACTCAGATTTATGTTTGAAGGCTAATTTCTTCAGTAATTAAATTAATGACCCTGTCCATGTAACATCACACATAGTTAGTAATATAAGTGGTGGAATGACTACGGCTGGTTAATTTTATTCAGCAAACCTAATGCCTCATGGAGCATGATTCACAGTTAAATCATCAAAAAACTGACAGTTTTCATGGTACACTTGGGTTTCAGACAGCTCTCCTGGCTTTACGGGAATTTCACACGAAACATCTAAACTGTCCTGAAGGAGCGTAGCGAGTTTTCAGATGTAACATTTATCTATAAACTAAATGTCTCTTTAAAACGTGTGGCCCACAAGAAAATATGTGAACTAAATTGTATTCCTCCACCAGTATCTTCCATGATTATCAGTTTAATCGTTTCTAACAGTAAGCAGCAGAATGACACACAGATGGTGACCCCAGGGGTCAAGGCTGATGGGGTATAGTAAATCTCCACATCACCTTTTTCCAGGGGAAGGCAACCCTGGTCCTAGAGAGCCGCAGTCCTGCACGTTTTCCAGCCATGCTTGAACTTGCAGCTTCTGATTGGCTGAACACACCTGATCCAGGTAATCAACAGCAGCAACAACAACGGTAGTTGGAAAACAAGCAGGACCGTGGCTCTCTAGGACCAGGGTGTCCTTCCCCTTTAAAACATCTCCTGTAAAATATAAATATTCTGCCTGAAACCGTCTCTGTAGCGCCCTCTGCAGCCTAAGGTCTGATCCACGTTTGACTTTGAGTCAGCCATCAGCTCTGGTGTAGCGGGTATTATCTACGTTAGCCACGCCTTTGACCGCCTCAGCTTCTCACGAGCCACGCGAAACAGTACGACTCAGAACCGCTCTCCTCCTCGTTCGTGGCTCATCTCTCCAGTGGGAAGGGGGCTGCCAGCCACTGCTGCGGCGCCACCCTCTTGGTCCGCCAGTGAGGGTTGACTCGGGGACGGGGGTGACTTGGTCTTTGGCTTCTGTCCCAACCTTGTAAAGGAAACTGACAGCCCTGAAAAGGTTTCTAAAATGAAACATTCACAAACTTCTGCTGAATTAACATTGTGGTTTGATAGCAGGATGTTTAAATCATTAAACAACACAAAATCATCTCAGATGGTTGACTTCAGGAGAAGGGTTCCCCGCAGGATCTCAGACCATCTCAGAGGCAACTTGCTCGTGAGCAGGATGAGTTCAGAACCTGTTACCATGGTGACAGAGATTATTGCAGCTTTCTTCCAGGAACAGAAAACATGAAAAAATCCCAAAACTGTTTGATGGCAACTGAAATCTCCTAAAAGCCTGTGTCCACATATGAGGACAGTGGCTTCCAGCATTTTATTCTCTTCAACTTAGACTTTGAGTTTAAGTAAAAAAAAAAATTTCATTTTTATTTTATTTAAAAGTTGGTCAAAAATGTAATTTAATTAAATTTTTGTGTTCGTCTCTATGAGTCGACTAATCTGTAAATGAAGTGTTTTCTTTTTTTATTTTAGATCACACCAAACACAGATCGGGTCTCAGGAGGTTAATCCTTGGAGACACGTCCCAAGTGGGTTTCTGACATCTCAAAGCATACTTTTGGTTCTGTGTTGGTTTATGACACCAAACTTGGACGTCTAGGTCTGCCTCTGAAGGAGCTGGCCTCCACACTGGGTGGAAGGGGTCTCCAACTACTTCACCTTGTGCTCAGTTTTGCAATTTGAGCCTTTTTGGCAGGACTATGAGTTATAATATGAATAATCTACAGGTGAAATACTGTAAATTGTTTGAGGTGGGAGGCATTTGTACGTTTAGTGTAATCTCAGTTTTCAGACTAGCTAGCTGTAGCTCATCGGTTTATATTCTTATTTACATGCAACCTTCTCCCAAAATGTTTTTTTAATGTGAACATCTTTAGGTTTTCTTGAACAATTATTTAAATAAATAAAATTCTTTCTTGATTTTCTGCAGTAGGAAAGCTTTAACTCCTTTGGGGCTTTTAGACAGGTGGCTGTTTAAAATTAACCCCTTTTTCTGCAAACGGTCCCATGTTACAACTCCTGCTATGAATCTTTCCTCTCCAGAGGCATTTCCAGCATGAGAGGCTTCTCCTCCCTAACCTGTGCATCTTGTGTGTTTACTCCCCATGTTGGCAGCAGCTTTGTTATAAATCTCTTTTCTCTTGGGTGTGTGTGCAACAGGCCAAAGCTTAGCCGGCTGACAGGCAACATACGGGCTCCAAACACTCCTCCAGTAGGCTTGTCATGTCCTCCCAACCAGGACACTCTCGTGGGACAAGAAACCATCTTTCTACCAGTTTTCCCTTACCTCTCTCTACAAAGGCACACACTTGTGTTGCTGTTTTTTCCCCTGTTGGGGGAAATATGTTTTTGCACCAACAACAAAAAACTAAATGCATTAAACAGTCTGTGTTTAGTGGAGTTGATATGCAGAGATGGAGGATTCAGATTGATGTACAGAAACAATTTGGTTTAGTTCACTCTTTATTTCCCTCATGGGGACATCTGGAGTACAACAGCAGTCAAGGAAGCACAGCCTACCTGATGAAACTGGATTAACGGAACAGTGCTGTGGTTCTGAGACAGGTAGAGCGGGTTGTCCAGTAATCGGACAGTTTTGGGTCTCGGCTCCGACCAGAGAACGCTGCTGT